TGAGGCTTACACACTTGGCGCCTTTTTTTCCTTTTTTTTAAAAAGGTAATTTTGTTGAGATTTAAATATTCGTCGTACCAGTCAACAGTCGGGATCTTATTTTAATTAATATTTTAAGGTAGTTCTTCACAAAAATGAATTACTGCAGAAAAAAATAAGAAAAATATATGAGGTTCTCTGGATCTCGAACTATATGCTACAATTTTTTTAAACCCCGATTGCCGAACTCATTTTTGAGAAAAAATTCGTTGAAATTGGCTTCTTATACACGGAGACATAGGGTATCGTACAGTTCCGAGCACTATTATTTACAAATTAGTATAGTAAAAAACTGCAGTTGATAATGAAAAAGTAATAGATGAAAGTTAAAGATTCGTACTTTTTAACGGTCAAAATAAAAGTGGAGGTAGCCGAACAAATTTTCGAGATATTTATTGTAGAAACAGCAAAAATGTACGACTTCATAACCTCTTTCATAGGTCTGTTTTCTGTGGCTGAACTAATAAAGTTAAAGATTCGTACTTTTTAACGGTCAAAATAAAAGTGGAGGTAGCCGAACAAATTTTCGAGATATTTATTGTAGAAACAGCAAAAATGTACGATTTCATAACCTCTTTCATGTCACTACGTGGTTCATCGCTACGTATAAACAATATTAATATTATTAAAACTTTATTATTTCAATGCAAATATTATCAACAAAGACCTTAAAATTTATAAATATATTTAATGAACGCCATATATACAATTCGATTGAGAATTTCGCAATTTTTATTCTCAGCATTCAGTTGACTAGGGAATCCGTGAAGAACTACCTTAAGGTCCGGCAGGTCGGAAAGATAAACAATAATTATATCTAATGATAAAAGATATTGTTGGTGATCATAAAAAATAATTTAAAAACATTATAGAACGAAAGAGAGTGAAATACGGCAAAAGAGAGAGGTGGTGAGGGACGGGAGGGGCGGGAGAGGAGGTCCGGTGAGCCGAAGATGGTGGAGGTGCGAGTGAAAGATGAGAGAGGATGTTAAAAAGTTGTAATAACGAAAGAGAGTGAAATACAGCAAAAGAGAGGGGTGGCGGGAGTGAGTGGGGGGGAGGGGAGGGGCAAGTGCAGAAGGTTCGGTGGTCCAAAGATGGTGGAGGTGCGAGTGAAAGGTGAGAGAGGATGTTGAGAAGTTGTAATAACGAGAAAGTGTGAATTACGGCGAAAGAGAGGGATGGCGGGAGTGGGTGGTGGAGGGAGGGGGAGGGGCGAGTGGCGGAGGTCCTAGGGGCCGAAGATGGTGGAGATGCGAGTGAAAGATAAGAGAGGATGTTAAAAAGTTGTAATAACGAAACAATGTGAAATACAGCGAAAGAGAGGGGTGGCGGGAGTGAGTGGTGAGGGGAGGGGAGGGGCAAGTGCAGCAGGTTCGGTGGGCCAAAGATGGTAGAGGTGCGAGTGAAAGGTGAGAGAGGATGTTGAAAAGTTTAAATGGCGGTTTGAAAAATTTTGAATGCGGACAGAGAAGAAGAAGAAAAAGAGGAAGGAGGAGAAGGAGACGTTTCTTAATTTTTCATTAAAATCACCACTTTTCGACTTCTTATATCTCCAGAACGGCTTGACCGATTAAAAATTTTTCAGGCTGAAATTACTCGTGGTGATGTCGCCTTTCAGGACATATAACGTTTGATTCAAAATTTTTTATATTTTAGTAGTTATGCACCTCCCAAAAATGGACTTTGGTGGCTCGGGATAAGAGACTTGTAGCGTCTCTCAGTTTTGAACATGGCCGGAGACACTACCGCGTCTCCTGATGAATTGTTTCGTTTGTGATGGGTATTGTTTTTACGCTGGTGTCACCTTGTAATGGAAGGCTCGCCCACCAAGGCGGTTGTAAATGATGTTAACTCTCTTGTTTAAACAATTCACAATTTATTAATATGAGTATAATCAGAATAGCGTCACCGTTTGGTGCAAGTACACGCTTGATTAACCACGTCTCACTGTTCGTCACGGCTCTCTCCGACTGTTCGTTAAACGTGACGGTTGATTGGTGTCGCGAAGTGCGATAGTTAATTCGTGCGATAATATAATGCGTTCACACTTCACACAATCGCGGTGCGTATTACAAGTTAAGATGTCACTTGACGGTAACTTAAAAAATAAATATAGGGAAAATCCGATAGCCGCTCAATTCGGATTACATTTGCACGAGACGTCAAGAATAATAATCGATCCGGTAACGATCGAGATCAGGTAGCTAATGAGGAATGGAGCGCAGAACGAGTGTGCGGAACTCGCAATTTCGGGTGTTGCGCAGAGGGGCGAGCATTCCATTTGAGACCGATAGATTAAAGAGAGTGAAAGCGAGATTTACGTGAGCGGGGATGCGTGGTTACGTGGAATTGTCGAGAATATAATTTGAAATAACGATGATTCCGTAACATAAATAAAAACAATAATGTCTGCCAATTCGGAACGCATTATTGTTGGTATGTGTATGTACATCATTGTTCATTTAACCAACAGAACTTAAGCAATGAATGTCGACGTTTATTAATTTAAACCTTGGTCTATTTGTTTTAAACTAAGACCTCGTATTCACTCCTCTTGCCTTTCTAGAAATCGCACATGATCCAATCCCAACTTAAGGATTAATTTCCTCGGCTCTTTCTCTCAAATTTCGGGCCAACACGTTCGTAATGCTCATTGGAATCGGATGATACAGCATCTTTTTGGAACGTTGACCCATATTCCGAAGCGATAAAAAGCGTTCGGCTCTAAACGTCTTTCCATACCATCTCCATTCTTCTTTGTTATCTTTCCTAGCGGTTCGACTTAGATATCCAAGGGTTTGAACGTAACAATAGGTACCAAATTATTTAGTGAATAGTCTTTATTTACGGCACTGTTAACGACGTATTGGTTAGAGTTGAAGCTGATGATTTTTATAAAGTGTTTTACGTAGTATAACGAATTTAATGAGCACGCGCATTATAACGTCTTTCGTACATTAAAGGTACGTACTGTAATTCTTGTAACAATAATTTGATGAAAAATACATAAGTAATATTATATTTCTTATATAAAATTAATTCACTTTTTATGTCATATTAAAAGCTCTTTGAATGAATAAGATGAATAATTGTATATCTTGGTTTCGATCTATTCACCACGAGCTGAAAATACGTATGTCTCAACGTTCTCGAAACAGAATGGCTTGATGTTTACGATTAAATGCAACTCGACGCGTATCACGTTGAGTATCACGAGTAGCTTGGACATTATGCCAGCTGCCGTATTGCGTGCATGCCTGTATGTGGTATGGCTGTCTTCACGTGTCATGAATGAAACAACCGTATGATTTTATAATTACCTCATTTTTTACGTAGTAGATTAAATTCCACGGGTTAAGTAATTTTTATACATATTTTGAAAATATGAGAAAATAAACTTTTTGTTGTACTCTGTTTTTTTTTTTTGCATTTTTAACCTATCTGTGCTATCACTATTGAGTGATACAGTATTGTTATCGATATGTAAACTTTATGTATTAGGAAATAGACCACTCTTAATTAACGTAATACAAATTTTTCATATAATTTACATTTTTAATAGCAAATATTTATAATTTAGACTTTTATATAAACACAAAAATATTAATTATTAACTTAAAAAGAAAGAATAAGCACACTATCAATTCAATCTCAAAATGCTATGCAATGTGTAGTCTAATAATTTTATATATATGTATATCAAATCCAAGTGTAATCTTCTTACGAACTCTCTTATTTTCCAAAACCAAAAAATATGGATCAATGGATCAGGCTATTGAGAGTCAAACGTGGTTCTTATTACGTAATTGTCTATTTATTCATAAAAATCTTGAACGTTTCGACTCACTTTGGAGTCATCTTCAGCATACATAATCTCTATATATCCTTGAAAGTTGGAGATAAAATCACCATCAAATTAGCCGATTTGATGTACAATCTAATAAAATATTAATACTGTTAAACTAAAAATAACTAAAAATTAAAAGTAGTGACTCACCTCAACCTTCAAAGAAACGTCATTTAACAAATGTTTTAATATCACAAATTTATCATTTTGGAATCAATTACAAATTGACATTTACAAAGTCTTCACATACAAGTCTCAGACAAAACTGACTTAAAAAGTTAAACTGTAACGGTCGTCAACAACAACAAACATGTCAAAATATTGTATATTTCTTGTTTGGTATATATAATTTATAGCGGTTGTAAACCGATATTGGGTGGATTTCGATAAACCTCTCAAATACGCCCATTCGGAGTTGCAGACGCCCGCGATGCCGATCTCACGGATTAGTCTGTCATGACCTATCTTTCCAGTAAAAGTTCCGTGAGAATTCAACAAGATATAACAAAATAACATTTAGTTTACTGTGTGTGAATTTTAAACAACTGTTGATATGGCTTTAGCATCGATGTGGTTTCTGTTATTATATCTCAGTTTATGCAACGCATGGATGGATGAGAGGTATATTTCTTAATAAAAATTTCTTAATAACATATGTTGTCCGCGTCCAATATCACAATGTGTACCTGTATAATAATTGTAAATATCGAATAAAATTGAAAAGTCATAAATTTAATATTTTATGCAATACAATCGATAAATATATTCCTTGAAAATAAGAATCAACAGAATGCATGATAAAAAATAGAACTTAAGATGTAAATGTTGATGATAAGTTTCTTTTATATTCTATAAACTTCTTTCCATAATTAGACTTTGATATGTAAATAATTTACATAAATTTTAGACCTGTTTTGGAGTCTCGAGATGGACATCTCATAATCTCCAGCGCGAAGGATAGAAACATTACACTAAAGATAACAGGGGACGGTTACATGAATATCAATGAGATCAATCTGCTTCACGTAGCTTCGGCGGTAACAAATAAATATTTGCATATATTATAAATGTCCAACAAGTATGAGACACAATTAGTTAAACAGATTTTAATATTCTTCAGGCGCAAAATGCGACACGGGTCATCGATAGGTGGCGAATGGGATATTTGGCTGAGATGGAGAATTCGCTTCACGAACTAACGACTATAGTGACAGGCACTACAGGTTTACAGAGAAGAGTCGCTGTGCTCGAGAGAAATATCGACATGAACATTACGATTCGCACAGGAAACAGATCACGTATACCGGTAAGAATGCGCAATATTGAATGAACAGCTTGCGATGACATATTTTTCTATATCCCAGTACCAAATTGTAATCAATATGCCAATAAAAAAAAAAGAGTTATTTATGTTTAAAACGAAATAAGAAAGATATCGTATAATAATAATATATCCATAAATAGAGCTTTAAGGGGGAACACCACTGTGACGGCCGAAAAAAAGGCTCCTTTTGTGAATTTTTTTTTGAAAACTGATAGCTTGTATAAATTATTGTTTTTACATATTCAAAGTACATACATTTACGAAATTATTTAAAAAAATTCATTGATTAATATTAATATTTGTAGCTTCAGTACTCATTGATGTGCACCTCGTCTGAAAAAACATGGGTGCACGGGCGCTCGTGCTGCATCTGAACGGGAGCTCTAAAATAATTTTTTTTAATTTTATTTTAAAGTATATGAGTGTAGATTCAGTTGCACGTACGGAATTTTTGATAAAATAATTTTAGACAAAATGGCGCTGTTTTAAAAAAAAATTCACGATTTTGCGACAAAAAACATTATCTTTTTAATTGTTTTTCAAAAACTAATAATCCGATTGAAAAGTTCGTACGTGCAACTGAAGACAATTTCTTTGTAAACATTCTGTCCAAAATTCAAGTCGTTCGGATAAAAATTGACCGAGATATGTGAGCACCCAGTTACGAAAACGTGGTTTCGAGAAAAACACGTTTAAAATTTTACAACCGATTAGTTTATAACCAGGGAATGGAAGTAACTCGTTACTTGTAACGAAGTTACTATTACAAATTACTTTTTTTGGTAACTTTACTAGTAACTGCGCGTTACTTTTTTTTTTTGGTAACTGTAACGGTAACGAGTTACATTTTTTGGATAACGGTAACGAAATTTACAGTTACTTTTGTCGTTACTTTGCACACGATTGAACACGGTTCGATTGGATACATGTCATTTATAGCGCTTATCAATAAGACTTGAAAGCTCTTAGGCATTCGGCCGTCATGATTGGTGGTCGTTCAATCTTTTTATAAAAATATTTGATTACAAATGAAAGTATAGCTTACATAAAAATAGCTGTGTTATAATAAAGAGATTATATGTGTATTGCTTTATTTTCCTTTTAATCTCTAACTTACATTGTGATTCAGATAATCCTATACAATCCTATATATAATCTTATAGTTTTTTACAAAATATAAAATAATTCCTGAAATATTTTTAACTGTTAACTGTAGCGACCTGAAGTGATCATTGACAGCTGAGAAATACTTATATATAGTATCACTATTTCAGTAATTATTTTACACTTCTATCTTCTATGTAATACATAGGACATACAAATATTTCAGTTTGCTGCATATTTTACAGGTTTTAGAATTACAAAATTGTGTTTAAAAAAAATTAAAATATAAATTAAATAAAAGTAAAATGAGAAGGGCTACGAATCCAAAAGCGAAACAGTTTATTTCCAATAATGCCCATTTCCACTAATGCAGATTAACTTTAATCTCGGTTTAACTTAACGTTAATCTTTTTCTAATTTTTAGAATTAGAAAAAGATGAAAAGTAAATTGAACTAAGATTAAAATTAATCTGCATTGGTGGAAATGGGCATAAGACGATGACAATAAGTGTCGAAACGTCATTTGTTTTTATCATGTTTTATCCATGTTATTGTTCTAATATATATTTATACATTTAATTACATTGTCATCGTCATTTTTATCGGAAATAAACTATTCCATTGGCTCATAACCCTTCTCATTTTACTTTTATTTAATTTATTATTTGAGCTATTCTAAATTGTTTTTAAAAAAAAAACTATATATTTGTCAGTAATAGAATCTTATTTTACGACCGTACATTGTTAAACAATAACAAGAAAGAAGGAAGCACAAAGCGAAGCCTATCGGTCAAAGCTAGATCAAGATGCTTATTATCATTATGTGTGAATTTATATATCGCGTATGTAGTTCTCTCAATCGCGTGCCGAACATTTTTTCAGACTTACAACTCTAAATAACTATCGCGGTAATATCACTTTAGTTAGATTGATAATACAATCTAACAAATTTCGATGCTTATAGCATCTTATTAGATCTTAATAATATGTTGAAAGATATATATTAAAATTCAATATTAAAGTAATGGTAATTGAAATCTGTGAAAAATAAGATTGCGAAGAATATCACAAGTTGGCGTTTCGTCCCGGCTTCCACTACTGGACTCATCAGTAAG